GGAACGCTTCGTCTGATGCCAAGCCCAAACACTCGGTTGTCTGCTACCAGCAGCCAGATATTTTGGTAATGGCAAAAGACAGTTTTTCACTTTCTAATTCACATATCACCAGTGAATCCCTATGTGATCCCGCATGCAAACTATACGAGGCCAGTTTTGGTGATCGTGTTTGCCTCGACCTTCACAATGACCACTTACCCGATTCCCGGCCAGCGCTGGTATCAGTAGGGCCCAACAAGAGCTGCGCTGTCCGAACGTAGGTAAATCACCTAATCCGGACGATAGACCACTCACGATCTTCAAATACGTGCACCCAAATCAGTTTGTTACTCCTCAGCTTTCGGTTCGCCCCAATTTTTTTTACCTTTGCAACGTTCCATGGAACACGGCATGGTTTTACATACGCCCAAACGTAGAGACCGTTTTGACCCGAGTCTTTCGGTAGTTGAACAAAACACCATCAAACGATTGCGAGCGTTTCTTGTGGACTGCTAAGTAAAGGCCAACAAGGCTCTCGACGGCGTGATGCGACCAATGGCCTACAAACCTGGTCGGCTGCACCCTATAACTACAGAAAACCACTATCCCCGCTTAGCCTCTTGAAAGCGTTTAGACTGAATCGGGCATGGTTTACAACTATAAGTGACAATGTGCAGGTTCCCCGGCTCTCGTGTTGTGTATACCAAGTTCCAGCTGCAACTGAACCAACTCCATACGAGTTGGAGTGATATCTCAGCGCCTCGCCATCCCTCTTTTTCCTAGTCGTCAATAATTCATCCGAAACTACCATTCCTTCTGTAGTGTCCTCTCCGTCTCACCCACTACATTGATTCCTCTCTTACAGAACTTCTGATGATGCCAGAATCAACATAAATCTTGGCCGCACTGCCGTTAACACTAACATACACGTGTGGTTGACACCTGACGGGGTAAACCCAGTGCGTGTTAGTGGCGTAGTCGTTGTCGTGCTTTGAACCCTATGGTCCCAGCCCCACCACCGTAACACAAATTCTGTTGTCGTCCGGT